AAAACCACTAGGACTGTGAATCTAAAAATTTCTTACCAATTCTTGTTATATGACATTAAAAATAAGTAAAAAAGGATTTTATACCTACACGTTTTATTCATTCTCCTATTTCCCCGATAAAAGCAACTTTTATCACGTGTTAAACTCCCTCATACTAAGAACCTGTTTCTCCATTTAAACTCTTTTTGAGTGGTAGCGTGTACACAATATTGAGAATGTGAGTTTCCTGTAATTACTCCGAGTGTTTCTGTTAACAGTAATACTACTAGTTTAGACGTAGCTAAGAATATAGTCACTTAATGTATCTGATGAAGACACACACAGGTAGATAAAACAAAAACAAATTCGCTATTGAAATTTCTTAAAGTATAGGTTTTTGCTGGCTTTTAACTCTCCTTCTACACTCGCATATATGAATATTTTGTCACAGGAGCTTACCCAAGCAATGAACGCAACGACTTTTCGGTAACAACAGGATGGTAAGTTGAAGAGAACAGTTTGGTTTACGAAGTGGTCATGTAATCACCCTTAACCCTTATTTTCTACCATTACCTATGTAAATTGAACAGTAAACACATTCGCATTATGTAGAAAAGTCTGAGCTTTCTGCCATGACACGAAGTTTGATGAAAAATATATAAAAATTCAAGTGAAAATAACACCTTAAAACGTATTGATTATGAATACCGTATCGCAATGGGCCAACCATACTATAAAGTACATGTGGAGTCCCCAAGATACAATTATCAAAATGTGATCTAAACTGATGACAGTCTGACTGTAAGCACCAAATTAATATACAAGAACAATGTCCCATCACACACACAAAAAGATGCGCTACAACAGTAAGAAAGCTCTGCGAAACATAGAAACAAATATTATGTTAAATAAATAATACATTAATTATTAACATGCATTTCTGCCGACACCAGATATATTAAAAAAACTGCACATTAACAAAATAAATAAAGGATACATTAATTATTAACATGCATGTCGACCGATACCAGATATATTAAAAAATGACCATTAACAAAATTTAGCATGTTCACAGTGAACTGCAGACTACCTCGTGTAAATACATCAGGCACCCCTGGTCGTAGACAAATTAGGCGAGTTAAAATAAAAGCATCAAACTGTCTACGTGTTAAGGATTTGACCAGTGTAATACAAATATAGACCATCACAAACAACCACTTATCAAGTAGAAGTCCCTATTTACTTTACAAAGTACATCATTCTGATTAAATGGTAATATTAGTTAAATAACTAAATACATATCCGAGAAACAAACGCATTCCTATTAAATCAGCATTTTTTTTCTCACGATTAGAACATTGTTTCACAGACCAGGTACAATAAATTACTAGTTTAAAAGAAGTAGTTTTGTATTGCGTGAAGCATTCATAACAAACGTGAAAGAAAGGTTAATGATATTCCAACATATGACCAGCCCTGCAGACATTTAGCTTGTTGTTAAGATACTACCAAGCTACTACCTACAAGAAAAAAAAAGCCTTTTAAACTATTACGTTTACCAATGGTATCAAACATGGAATATTGTTTTCATAACAAGGCGAATACTCGAACAAAATGAACAGCGTTTCTATTCATCAATAAGCTTCTAGTTCCCAACTATGAGAAGGTTCCATCAGCAACTTATTCACGAAATACTCGATACGCCCGGGTGGTCAGCATGTCCTGACGCAGTGGCCCGTGTACCGCTCTCTAACTATAGGACTACGGATACGCGACAAATGTCATGAGACAGTGGACGAACCAATTTTCTCCTCGAGCAAGTAAGGATTCGCCATTATTTTGATGAATGTCAAAGTCGTATCCTTCCTTGCTCTAAATGTATACAATCCCATTACCTACTCACTGTGTCAGACACAAATCTCGACTATCCTATCTTAAGGACGGGTCATATGAAAATGTAGGCGAACAAACATTGTAATCTTTTCACACTGGTTACGAACTCAACCAGTCATTGAAAGAAAAGTCTGTACAAGGAAGGCAAAACTAACTTGGTGACATATATAGCCCAATCTTTCCCTTCATATTTTCATGTTACCCAAATCTGGTTTAAAAGTATTATAATAGAGCACCTTTTCACTTAAGCCACTAAGTTAAACGAATGGCCCATAAACAAGTATTTCGATAGGAAGTGTTTTTCTACTTTATCACAGGGGCAACAAACTGTCAATGAAAACCAAAACAGTACCACTTGTACAGGAAGTTTCATATTGTGCTATTTTAAATCTTCATCAAGCTGACTAAAGATATATTCACATGAAATCGTGAGAAAAAGATACCCTTGCAGGAAAATCTTCCAGCATCCATAATACGTGGATCACAGAAATGTACCTTAGAATAAGACGCAGCAAAACAAACAATCTTAAAATTCATAAACGAAACACTTAAATGTTTTTGAACGAGTGAAAAGTTAAGGCACAGCTTGTAACGAATTTGTTGTTATGTATTTATTTTAATATGAATGTTGTTTAGATTAAGTTTATATTTAGAAACATACATAGCTTATACTATCAGATAGGTATTGCGAAACTCCCGTCTATTCTCCGAAGTTGTAAAGACTCTCGAGAGTAAGAATCAACATATGTATATACGAAAACGTTTAAAATGTAACTTGCATTGTTACGTAAGACTGAAATTTCTAGAACGCCTCCACATAGATATAAATATAACCAACGCGACGCACCAAAAAGAGCCTCTACTATTAGTTCGCTATACCCAGCATGCTATGAAACTTCGAAAGCTATAACTGTGATTGTTATAACGCTTATCAATCGGAAACTTAAGATATTTGCCAACAAGATTGATACACACCGTCTTCGTTTTTAACACAAATTCGTTTTAATATACAAACAACAGTACAATTTACAATAACAATTATTACGAACAATGATTTATAAACAGAAGTTTCACAAAGTTACAAACAATATAAAGTTTTTTCTAGTCTGGAACTTCCTTGATATCTTATCTAGGG